TTTTTATATATATATAAACATATACCATATATATATATATATATATATATATACCATTTTTGACAGACATACTGAGAAAGCCCTGGATGCATCAAAACCTGTCTTATTGGAGTAAACAGAGGTAATAAAAACAATTATTAGAAACACCTAAAAATTTTATCAGGCAAAAAAAATGGTTTTGATGCTTATCATCCTGCCTCTCTTACTATTGATTCAATAGACATCGGTTGCGTTTCGGTTTTATATTCGGATTTATATTTATATATATAATCACTAAGTTTATTTTTGACAAAAATTCTAAATATATAGATTCGAAATAATTTATCTATACATTCTTAAATTCACAAAATAGGTAATAAATATTAATTTCTAAATTTTAAATCTCGATTCCTCCCTGTATTTTTGTTATAAATAAAATTATCCAAGTAACAAATTCATACAGCGATAGGGTTAAGACAGTTGCCAATTCCTTCAAAATATTTTTGTTCTGTAGAAATCATACACCTATACATATGACTTCCAGCATTTCTCAAAGAGCTATCGGGTCAAATACAGCTTCTTTTTCGAAAACTTTTGTTACGAAAATTTAGTTTCACACTTATTATTTTTTCAAGATGATGTTCAATGGCTTGGTGCAATATTCTTTATAGATATGCCACGTAAAATTAGCGATAAATAAATTAAAAATCATCTATACATATTAAAATTATTAATAGATTTTAAAAATTAGTAATGCATATCTACATTTAAATTTTAAATCTCGTGTCTCCACTTCTTTTAGTATAAATAAAATATATCATTAAAACGACACCTATGGAAAGCAGACACCTATACATATAACTTCTAGCATTTCTCAAAGAGCTATCGGGTAAAATGTAACTTCCTTTTGAAGAATATTGTTACAAAAAATTTATTTTTCACACTTTACGCTTTTTCAAGATGATGTTCAATGGTTTGGTGTAATATTCCTTATAGATATGTCAAACAATATTTCAAATCGGCATTAAAAATTTATGGGTTTCGTCGCACGTAAAAATTTCCAGATGAATGCTGAAAAATATATCCGGCATCGAGGTTATGATTCCTCTCGTTTGAAAATGCCATTTTGGCAAAGGCTCAAAATGTTCCATCACAAGTTCGAGAAATATTTTTAGAGTGAAGATGCCGAACACTGCTCATGGATCATTTATCACCTTTTACACGTTTTCTTTTTGTCATTGTTTGCCATTTTTATACAATTAATTCGAATATTTATTGTTATGGAATATTTCTAGCTCTAACTGAATTCAAACGGCTCTTTTTAAAGGAAAATGAATTCGAATTTTATACAATTTTGAACGGTATTTGAAATTTATTTCCATTAGGATTATCTGTGACCTTTTTTTAAGCATCAAAATGTGTGAGAAAATAAATATTGTAGCAAAGAACTGCAGATTATTTGAGTAAGTATTTATTTAAGTACATAAAAATGATTTCGCTTAATGCAAGATGTCGTTTTTATTGAGCAAAAACACGTAATACAACTTTTATTTTTTAAATAAATAAATTTTTCATAACAGATGTTTTTGCTGAAATATAGTATAGCAACATTGCTGAAAAAAATATTGCAACATTTCAAGAATGAAAATTTTATAAATGTTTCAATATTGTTAGAATGAATAGAACAAACAATCGGTACGTTTTAAGAGAAATGTCTTAAAAGTAGCTGTCATACTTACATAAATTTCAAGCTAATATTTTAGATATTTAGATGCTACGTTTTTTAGGCGGGTTCATACAAGGGCGAAAAACTTCACGAAAAATTCTTTTTCACCTCTATAGGTAATTTAAAATTTAAAGTACAGAATAAAGTGAGTACAGACAAACCAAGAGTAAAAGTAAACCATAAATTTTAAAATGCTATTTTTTTAAAAATATATATATATACATAAAAATACAAGCAAATTATAACAGCATATACGCTGTAGGAACGTATCTTTTGTTATTATTTGGAAAGCTATATTAGTAGTTATTAAAGAAGTATCTTCCTAAAGCTTCGAAAGAAATATTATAAAAAATTAAAAACGTTTTAACAAAAAAAACTTTGAACATGCACTTTACGCTCAAAGAATATGAAATAAAAATTACTGCATTTAAATTAATTGTTTATTGTTCTTTGACTTACCAATGTCATCTAAAATTCAAAGTAAACGAAAATAAATAGTTTCGAGATTATTAACTAATTAATTGAAAGTGACGAGTTTCGCATATTTTACATATAAATAATGTAAGAGTGAAAAAATAATTGCACTAATTCTACTGCATATACTGTATAAACCATTTTTTCAGGAACTGGTGTTTTACAAAACACTGGCGAAATATGTTTACAAAACACTGACGAAAGTATTCCACTAAACTTGAAAAATTTGTCTGATTAAAAACACAGCAACCATATACTGTATCAAAATGTCTATGCAACTGTGAAACACCTAATAACTGAATGTTGTCAATCCTCGGCTATAAGAATATTGATATTCACATAACGGCTTTGGTGAATGTTCATTGTTCACATTCACACAGTCACTTTATATATCGATATTTAGATATAGTTGCTTTGGTGAATGTCTACATCATTCACATAGTTGCTTTCGTGAATATTATATTCACTTGGTTGTTTTGATGAAAGTCAATATTCACATATTTTCTTTGGAAACTGCCAATACTTGCATAGATTATTTGGTAATTTTTAGTATTAACATAGTCGAATAAAGAATGGGGATATTCACATAGATTCTGTTCGATTTTTTTTTTACATTTTGCTACATTTTCTGACACTGGGAAATGTTGACATTTAGCATGCACTGACGGAAGGATTGTAATAGGAAAGCAATGTAGACGATTTTTTTTATTCTACATTTACTACAGAATGTTGACATTTTAATGTAAGAGTGATAATTAAATCTGTAAGAGGATCATGACTGAATTTCAAACATTCTCTTGAGAGATTACGTGAATTTTGACATTCACCAGAGGCTGTTGAAATTAATCGAACATCGAATTTTCAAGATAAGTTTTGTATTTAATATATGTGAAAACATCTCTAAAAATGTTAAATGTCAACCGAATTGAATGCTTAGAAGCATTTGGTTTAAACCATTTGTCAGTTTTTCCGTGCAAAAAAAATTAAATCTTACATTTCTTTGTTATTCAAATATTATTTTAATAATATTTGTAAGATAATGTTATTTTCATTTGAAGAGAATTAACAATTTTTCATGAAACCCTTCTATAGATCACTCTGAGGAAAAAGATATTTTTCAAAAAAAAGAAATGTTTCAAATTATAAACTAAGTTCTTTGACATTGTATGTATTGTAATTATTTTTCATCTGAGTATTATTTTTCTGTAATTATTTTTCATTTCGTGAGAGTGTTTTTCTTTTTGATTTAGATGCAGTAAAGTATTTGGGGAAAGAACGAAACTACTGGTAATTCTTTTTTATACATAATAATTCAAACATTTTCTTCCAATTTCTTTAAATATTATGTGTATATAAATTCTTTTCAATCTGTTGCTGTTTATGTCTTTTAGATTAAGTTAACAGCGAAGAATTTAAATAAACAAGTTTTAGTCGGTAAAGTGATAAAGTTTGAAAATAATACTACTTTAATAAATATTAAAGAATATTAAACTTGATGAAACATTTTTAATCTTAAAGTATGATTTAAATTTATTGAAACAAAAACAGTTAAAACAATTGGAATATGGAAGTAAATTTGAGCTTCATTGAGTTTTTATTTCAAACACAATTTCAAACAAAAATCACGAAACCAATTTATCTGACTAGTATGAAAACATGATTTTGGGCAAATTTTTTTTAAATCAGTTTGTTAGAATTCCTGTGCTCTTAGCTTTCTAAAAATACTTTACTTTTGTTTGTACTTCCATTATTAACATAGTTAAAGGCAGATTTTGTGCTAGGTGATAATAGTGGATAGATCAATGATTTTAAGTCCTTAAATGCGTTTATTTCAAAATCATATTTTTTCACGTTTTACACCACCTTAAGCATGATATCTCATGTTGCTTTTAAAATGATTGTCTACAATTTTTCATGAGAGTTTATTATTATAGCACGCATGGTTTAAACTGCAGATTAAGAGAAAAAAGTAGAATTTTATTTTTTGTGCATGTTTATTTCACAAAGACAAGTGCAGAATTTTTCAAAAATTTGCTTTTTAAGCTATATTGATCCCTAACTCAGCAGTATAATGCACTTGATTTTAAGGTATGAGTTCAATAAAACATAGTTGATAACCTTCTAAATAAAATCCTCTTACGATTTTTTGTTTTAGGCGGTAGAATTGTTTTTACGAATTTTCTTTTACAAAAAAAACCATTATTTTTTTTACCTAAAAATGCCCACATAAAATAATAATAAAAATAATGTTTTCCTTGTTTTAAAAGTTTTTACTCATAATGAAACAAATAAACCAGCTTTTTTTTAAATTTTACATTGAAATTTTTAGAAAAAGGTTGTCGAAACGAGTTGGATACCTTAACTAATTCTGCATCCTCTTTTATAAAATAAACTAAAAATTTCCCTTTTTTTCAAATAACGCAGTAACTATTTTAGCAACGACTATCTTCTTTTTCAGACTATGACTAGACCAGGTTTATTCCTAACGCTTCCAGCCTAATTTAAAAGGAAAGAGATCTCCGATCGTGCACTAGATTATGTACTCTAGTGCACTTTCGCACTAGATTATGGGACTAGTCACACTCCTTTCATAATTAAAACAAACATTTAAAATGTATAATAAGAACTATTTCACAAACTTATAACTTAAAAGGCTTTAATTAACATCTCAGCTTTTACCTATATCATACTAAACCGTTTCATAAACCTCGTAAACAATAGGTTTGAGTACTATAGTAGTATAGGTATAATATTATTAGAATAATTTTTGAGTGAAAATATTCATATTCTATTTTCTGTTGCTAATAAAAACTTTCTTAGGAAAACATTCTTATAAGAGTTTCTATGTACATCTGTTAATGTTAGGAGGTTTCTACTTTCTTCTTCGTTCTTTCCACTTTTACGATTTTTGAAGCAAAATGATGTTTTTTTTTTTTTTCATTATCTATTACAAAAGAAGACAATTATGTATATTCAAATTTTTTTCCTATTTCGTAAATTTTTTTTTATTTCCTATAACCCTAAACTCACTGGTAACCATAATGTTCATTACGTTAAAATTATTGACAGCTTAACATCTCGCTATGTAGAGAAGTTAAACATAAAAGTAAAAATAAAAAAAGGTATATAGAAAAAATATTCATTCTTAATTTATATAAAATGATGAAAAATACTGAAAATTAATTGCAGCTCAAAAATTATTTTCAAAACTTATGAACAATATGACTTGTGGTAAATAAATTAGAGAAATAGTACATACATCCTCTCAAAATCAGTAATTTTAATATACATAAAGTTTCATTTAGCCACTTTTTTTAACTATTACTTTTAAACTACTAGCATGCTCAGAAAAGAGAATATTTCAAGAGCAAAATATAAATTATTTTCAAACACCGTTTAAATTGTCTCAAAATTGTGAGAGAAAAGACATTCACATTCAGAATTATTCTTAATTAAAAAAAAAAAATTTGAAGTCAATTGAAAATAAGTAGCACATATTTACATCTATTATGTACCGAATATCAAAACTGCAATAAAGCAGTCTTTTTTATTCTGAAACTAGGAGTTTTCTTTATTCAAGCAATGCAAGTCTTAAAATTTTCTAAATTTAAAAAGCAATGCTATAAATGTAAACAAAACTGCTATAACTAATTACAAAAGAATTGATTGATTTAAATCTGTTTCCTTAATTTATTTTAAAAAGTTTTCACTTTTAATATTATATCTATTAGGGAAATAAGTAGTAACTTTTACAATGATATAAATTAGTTCAATAATAAAAAAATAAGTTTAAAAAAATAACTTTTTTTATTCGCTTAAAGTATTTCAGTTAATTTGATTCATTATAAAATCGCAACTCGTTAAATGATTTTCATGTTTTTTAAAAATTATTTCAAGCAATATTGAAGCTACTCAATTAGTTCCTATAAAAAAATTTCGTTAAATGATACTCATATATTTAGATATAAGGGTTAATAATAAACTTGAGAAAGTTTATAAATGAAAACACTTGATAAATTTTATCAGTTCCAAAACGTATCGACTCTCTGATAATAAGAAATAAAAAAAGTTACTGATTTCTTCGTAAGCTTATAAAAGGGTACTTTTTAAGTAGAAGCAGATTCTTATCTCAAGGTCTTCTACAATAGTTAACAGATTCAAGCGAATTCAGAAACACTATACATTAAAATTGTTATTTTATTTCTCAAGAGATTAGGTGGCAATGCATTTATTACTTTCTTTTCTGATATCAATAAATAAATTACGTTTGATACGAAGAACTTAATTCAGTGAACATTTTTATACATTCTTCATTACGCTAAGTGTGGAAACACAAAGCTTTTCATTCTAACATTTTGACAGCGTTAATGACATCCACTCACTCGTATTCTTTACTCTTTGCTCCCTTCTCCCCCAATACCTGAATACAAAACTATTTTTATCAAACCGTTTCAGCTGGAAATGCTTGAGCCAGTACATGTGGTCTAGTAAAATATGCTTTTTTCGTTTAAAATAAAAACGATCTGCAGTAGGAAAGAAATAGGCATAGAAATAGACGCATCAACAATAATTACTGCCTAAAATTTTGTTGCTGTTGTTTCTAATGTCACTTGCCACACGGGCAGGCCTGCTTGGTGAAACCGAGCAAATTTAAGGCAGAGCGTGAGTTTCTTGCTTTTCAGTGGCGCCATCTATGGCCAAGAATTTGACTTCTGCCACACCATACGTCGCACCCGTTTATGGGGTGGACCATTCATACATCCATTCATTCATTCATCCACAGGTCGTAATTTTGACCTGAATCAGAGAACCATCGATCTCCAATACAGTACCCCCAGAGGTATTGATTTGTTATGGGATCATGGAGGACTTTTACGACTCGTCAGATTTAACGTGCATCAGTCACTTTACAACATGAGGAGTCTTCGGCCGGCGGGGTTTGAACCCACGAACTCTCGGACATAGGCCCAGCGCCCAGGCTATCCCGGCCCCTAAAGTTTTAAAAAAAATAATAATACTTTATTGTAAATAAATACTTAAAAATCATGATTAAGAAAATTTTTAGGTTTACAATTCTCATAAAAACTGCTTTCGTAAACTCAAATTTTTTGTCATCATTTGAGAGAAAAATAATTTAATGACATTTTTTTTCAATATTAGTTAAATATCCCAATTTTTTAAAACCTTTTCGTGTTTGTTCCGTGATTCTGTTTCAAAACAAAATCGAAATGTAAATTAAATGTTTCAAAGGAGGCTTGCTAACTCAATTTTACTCCAGCAAAATAGTATGACAACCATGCGAAGCACATCAAAAACAATTTTGCTGCATGACATTCTTACCTAAATTCATAATGATCAGATATTACCATTCATTTCAATATCCAATTTGCAAAAATAAGCAAAGTTTTCTATAACATTTTTAGAGCTGATGATGCCTTCCATTTTCACTTATTCTTCCGCTTTACTTATCAAAGTATATAAAAGAAAGTTTTTTTTTTCTCCTTTGTAATGAAACAAATTACTTTTCTTGGCGAAGAACGCCCTTCTGCTAGTTACGTGTTCGTGACTTTAATATTAACAAAGATCTTGTAAAAGCATTATGCTAGGTACCAAAGGGACATTTAATGCTACATGTTCTTAACGCTAGTGAAGAAGTTATAGTTTATTTTAGATTTAAGGCTGTTTTTCACAGGCTGAGCATAAAATAACGCTTTTTTTAACGAATAGTATACTATTTTTATAACTGTTGTTAGTTTGTATCAGTTATTAAGTAGTTACGTTAAGTTTTTTGCGGTTTTAACCAGCACTCTCTATCTAATTATGAAAATGGCGCAAAATGGCGATAAGAAGAGAATACAGTTCTGTGTAAATGAAAAACATTTGTGATCTATCTATTATGTATTGTCATATCTATCTATTATCATTATCTATTGTTAGGAAAGTTACACTGTCTGATCACCTAAAAATTGGAAAGGATGGAGATTTTCTGATTTTAATAAGTTCTCTGCCCACTGAATATTGTTTAATGCCGTGGTTCACTCATTTTACAAAAACTATTACCGCATCTAAATCGACGCGTAATAAATAGATATCAATGATAGTAATTTTAACTAAAATTGAATTGTAAGCATATTTATTGATTTGAGCAAAGTAATAAAACTTTAAAACTGTGATAAATTCTCATTAGCCATAAACTCATCTTGTAGCACTTGGGAAACGATGAAAAATTGTATAGCTATCTGATGCGTAGTATCAGTAAAGATGTAATTTTGATTATAAAATCAAAA